GTTTCCGTTTTAGCATCTTTCAATTTGAGATTTTTCAATATTTCGATTTTTCATTTTTTCGATTTGTTGATGTTTTGATTTCTGGATTCAATTTTACGATTCTTCAATTTTTCGACATTTAAATTTTTGTTTTTTTTTAATTTTAGATATTTCGATTTCTAGATTTTTCGGTTTTTTAGTACTTCAGTTCTCAATTTTCAATTTTTCAAATTTTTAAATGTAAGATTCTTCACCTTTTCGATGTTTTGATATCTCTATCTTTCGATTTTTCGACTTTTAGATATTTCGATTTATCAATTTTGCTACAAATTTTTGTTTGTGGATTTTTCAATTTGTCGATTCTTCAAATTTTCGATTTTTTATTTTTCGATTTCTCGATTTTCCGATATTTCAGTTTTTCGATTCTTCAGTTTTTTATTTCTTCGATTTTTCGATTGTTCAAATTTTGCAATTTTTCAATATTTCAATTTTTGGCGTTCCGAAATTTTCGATTTTTCCTTTTCTCAATTTCTCTATTATGCGATTCTTTGATTTTTAGATTTTTTGCTTTCTCTATTTTTTGATTTCTAGATTTTTTAATTTTTCGTTTTTCCAAGTTTTCGATGTCAGTTTTAGGATTTTTCAATTTTAGAATTTTTCGATATTTCGATTTTTCATTTTTTCGATTTTTTAATGTCTCGATTTTTCGATTTAATTTTGCGACTCTTCAATTTTTCGACATTTTAATTTTTGGTTTTTTTAAATTTTAGAAATTTCGATTTGTCGATTTTTTGGTTTTTTAGTACTTCAGTTTTCAATTTTCAATTTTACAAATTTTTAAATGTTAGATCTTTCTCTTCTTGCTTTTAGATTTATCGATTTCTGAATTTTGCCACATTTTAGTTCCAGGATTTTCCAATTTTTCGATTCCTCAAATTTTCGAGTTTTCAATTTTTTATTTTTAGATTTCTCGATTTTCCGATATTTAAGTTTTTTGATTTTTCCTTTTCTCAATTTCCATATTATGCGATTCTTTGATTTTTCGACTTTTCGAGTTTTTATTTTCTCTACTTTTTGATTTCTAGGTTTTTAAATTTTTTGATTTCTCAAGTTTTCGTTGTGCCATTTTTAGGATTTTCCAATTTTGGGATTTTTCGATATTTATATATTTTAATTTTCAATTTTTTAATGTTTTGATTTCTTGATTTTTCAATTTTTCTATTCTTCAATTTTTCAACATTTTAATTTTTCAAGTTTTTGATTTTTCAAATTTGCAATTTTTCGGTTTTTAAATTTTTCAGTTTTCAGTTTTCCGATTTTCCAATTTATCGAGATTTCGATGTATCGATTTTTTAATTTTTCGATTTACCGGGTTTTTTAGGTTGTTAAGTAAATGTTTCAATTCCAAATTTTTCGTTTTCGATTGTTAGACTTGTGGGCTTCTCGATTTCTGAATCATTAGGACCCGATTTATAGAAAGCGAAGTTAAAGTTAATTCGCGATTAACTTTTAATTGAGGTTCGTCGCTAGGCAACGTGCAGGTTTTAACCAATCACGGGATCATATTCCACATTTTAATTCTCTGTTAAACTAATCGAGGATTAAATATTTAACTCGCTGTTCTATAAACCGGCCCTAGATGTTTCGATTTCTAGATGTTTCAATTTTTCAATTTCGATTTCTCGATTTCTAGTTTTTTGATTTTAAGTTTTTCGATTTTTAAATTGACAGTTTTATGATTTTTTGCTGTTTTTTGAATTTTAAAATTTTTCGACTTTTCATTTCTTGACTTTTCGATTTCTTTGTCGATGTTTCGGTTTTTTCAATTTTTTGATGTTTTGATTTCTGGATTCAATTTTACGATTCTTCAATTTTTCGACATTAAAATTTTTGTTTTTTTTTAATTTTAGATATTTCGATTTCTCGATGTGCCGGCTTTTTAGTACTTCAGTTCTCAATTTTCAAATTTTAAATTTTTAAATGTTAGATTCTTCACCTTTTCGATGTTTCGATATCTCTATCTTTCGATTTTTCGACTTTTGGATATTTCGATTTATCAATTTTGCTACAAATTTTTGTTTGAGGATTTTTCGATTTATCGATTCTTCAAATTTTCGATTTTTTATTTTGCGATTTCTCGATTTTCGGATATTTCAGTTTTTCAATTCTTCAGTTTTTCGATTCTTCAATTTTTTTATTGTTCAAATTTTGCAATTATTCAATGTTTCATTTTTTGGCGTTTCGAAATTTTCGATTTTTCCTTTTCTCAATTTCTCTATTATGCGATTCTTTGATTTTTCGATTTTTTGGTTTCTCTACTTTTTGATTTCTAGATTTTTTAATCTTTCGTTTTTCCAAGTTTTCGATGTCAGTTTTAGGATTTTTCAATTTTAGAATTTTTCGATATTTCGATTTTTTAATGTCTTGATTTTTCGATTCAATTTTGCAGCTCTTCAATTTTTCTACATTTTAATTTTTGCTTTTTTTAAATTTTAGATATTTCAATTTTTCGATTTTTTTGGTTTTTTAGTACTTCAGTTTTCAATTTTCAATTTTCCAAATTTTTAAATATTAGATCTTTCTCTTCTTGCTTTTAGATTTTTCGACTTCTCAATTTTGCGACATTGTAGTTCCAGGATTTTTCAATTTTTCGATTCGTCAAATTTTCGATTTTTCAATTTTTTATTTTTAGATTTCTCGAGTTTCCGATATTTCAGTTTTTTGATTTTTCCTTTTCTCAATTTCTATATTATGCGATTCTTTAATTTTTCGACTTTTCGAGTTTTTGCTTTCTCTACTTTTTGGTTTCTAGATTTTTCAATTTTTTGATTTCTCAAGGTTTCGATGTGCCATTTTTAGGATTTTCCAATTTTGGGATTTTTCGATATTTCGATTTTTTAATTTTCAATTTTTTGATGTTTTGATTTCTGGATTCAATTTTACGATTCTTCAATTTTTCGACATTTAAATTTTTGTTTTTTTTAATTGTAGATATTTCGATTTCTCGATTTCTCGATTTTTCGGTTTTTTAGTACTTCAGTTCTCAATTTTCAATTTTTCAAAATTTTAAATGTTAGATTCTTCTCTTTTTCGATGTTTCGAGATCTCTATCTTTCGATTTTTCGACATTTAGATATTTCGATTTATCAATTTTGCTACAAATTTTTGTTTAAGGATTTTTCAATTCATCGATTCTTCAAATTTTCGATTTTTTATTTTACCGTTTCTCGATTTTCCGATATTTCAGTTTTTCGATTCTTCAGTTTTTTGATTCTTCAATTTTTCGATTGTTCAAATTTTGCAATTTTTCAATATTTCAATTTTTGGCGTTCTCTTCTTACTTTTAGATTTTTCGATTTCTGAATTTTGCGACATCTTAGTTCCAGGGTTTTTAAATTTTTTGATTCGTCAAATTTTCGATTTTTCAATTTTTTATTTTTACATTTCTCGATTTTCCGATATTTCAGTTTTTCCATTCTTCAATTTTTTTATTGTTCAAATTTTGCAATTTTTCAATGTTACATTTTTTGGCGTTTCGAAATTTTTAATTTTTTCATTTCTTAATTTCTACATTATACGATTCTTTGATTTTTCGACTTTTCGATTTTTTGCTTTCGCTACTTTTTGATTTCTAGATTTTTTAATTTTTTGATTTCTCAAGTTTTCGATGCGCCATTTTTGGGATTTTCCAATTTTGGGATTTTTCGATATTTCGATTTTTTAATTTTCAATTTTTTGATGTTTTGATTTCTTGATTTTTCAATTTTTCTATTCCTCAGTTTTTCGACATTTTAATTTTTCGTTGATCTTTCGATTATTTTGATTTATCGCTTATAGATTTTTCGGTTTTTCAAGGTTTTGATTTTTCAAGTTTTCAATTTTTCGGTTTTAAATTTTTTCATTTTTTAGTTTTCCGATTTATCGAGATTTCAATGTATCGATTTTTTAATTTTTCGATATAGAATTACATTTTAAAAAACGCAAGACCTGCTAGTTTAGTATACTATTAGAGGAAACCGTATAGTAATATACAGGATGAGTCACTGAAAGCTTAAAGCTAAAGTTGCGCAGTTCTTTGGAGACCATTTACTAAAATTATTTTCAGCTATACAGACTGTTAAGGCGCAAAACACAACACTCTATATATTTTCCGACTGACTAGTCCGTAAGCTTTGTAGCCCTTAAATATTTTCGAAATTCCGATGCAACGTTGCCAAGTTGTTCCAATTTTTTGAAGTGTTTTAGCAATGGAAGGGTTTGTAGAGAGATAAATAAAGATACGAGAAGATACAGAGTGGTTAAAAAAAACAGTCTATATTTTGTTTTTGCATCTTATTTTGTGTTCTGTTCTTTTTCTGTTTTGTTAAATATTTTCTATATTTAAAGTTGACAGCTGTTGAGATTTTTTTTACTTTTTTAAAGAACACACTGACATATTCATATTCAGAAATAAAATACAGGATGTTTTATTTGAAATGACTGAAATATCGATATTTGAAAATTCTAAAGTATACACTCTGTATATTAAATTTGATCTTAAATATAACATTTTTTTGTAAATCGTATTGCTAAAAAATTTAAAAAAATTGGAATAACATGGTAGCTAAGTTGTATTTTATGCCTCGAAAACAATACACTCTGTATAGTCGAAAATAATTTTATTGTAAATATGCCGTCGAACTTCAGTCTGTGACTTTTGTTCTATGTCTAACAAGTTATGAGACATCGCGGACCCCGCGCTTAGTGACTCACCCTGTATATGTGATTTATAAAAAAACAAACATTTATTTTGATTATGTTGTGCTGATATGACATGTGACAATTTTATCATGTTTTTATTTATATTAAAAATATTTATATTATGTCAGTAGGTATATACAAATATTAATAAAAATTGACAAAATTATGTCAACAAGGTTTAATTTTCGATTTAATTAACACAACGGACAGAATTACATGAAAATTTCATTTGTATTTTTATTAGTACATATTTTAATAATGGAATTTGATGACTACAATTATTTGAACATCGAATGACCATTTAAAACTTTAGCAACATAAATTCGTTCAAACAGAAAAATCAAAACCCACATTTAGCACCAAAATTGAAGATCTTGCAGCTGAGTAAATATTTTAAACGGGAAATTCTGTTAACGTGGATATGAAAATTGTGAATGAACAATTTTTTTTTACAAAAGCTCTTATATCCACAGCCATGCAGGCGAATCCTTGTCGTAGTCCAAAAGCTCGAGATTAACCTGACTGAGCTCTCTCTGCGTACCCCACATTTCTATGATATTCTTATCGCTGTAGTAGATATCCGGGTAGAAAATTTTCATATTTTCCAATTTTCTCTTCAGCCTCGAAAACGTCGCGCTTTTTCGGGGGTCCATCTCTAGGTCTATTTGAACGTTGGCATTTTTGCATTTCTGCTTCTCGCTTTTCAAAGTATCCAAACTTCGGCTTTCTATTTCTGGAAAATTCAGAGAATGTTGACTCTTGTGGGTGTTTGACGTGAAACTTACGTTTAAAATGTGATCTTCCTTGACCGGAGCGGCGAGCTGTAGGGTCCACGAAATTACTAATCAGAAGATTCACCGCATCCAAAGAGTAAGCTTTAGTTATGGGCCGTCGTTTTGCGTACGTGCTTGCTTCTGGGAAAGGTTCATATTTAATTTTTTTGTGTCCGTGCACGATAAATGACATTTTCACCCAATGACATGTAAAATGTGCCAAAGTTTACCGGTCGCCGTGGACACACTGATTGTGTCAGAATTTCGACGGGTCACTGTTAGCTGAGTACGAAACCTGGTACTGTTTTAATAAACAGAGCGTCAAGCTGGAACATCAAACGCCCCAATCCATTTATTTTAATATACTTTTGCCCGCTTTCCTTATTTCTGTTTAAGTTGCTAATAAAACCGGCTAAGATATCACTTCGCTTGAGCTGCGTGGGAGCAATATTAGCTTAACTGATTGTTTTTGGAGCGAATATGCGCAGGATGTAACTTAATTTGACGGTCTATCTCTCTGTCGTAGTCTTGAAAGCCCAAGGCTGTTTGAGTGGTAAATATTAACACATGCGGAAATATGCAAATACGAATTCGTCGAAGATGAGTAGGTTAACAAATAAACAATAGAATTATGAAAGCTCTGCCCTTTGAAGCTCCGGGCTGATACATGTTTACTTACCGTGAACATTGCCTGGGGTTTGACGAAAAAATTAAACAAGTTTCCATCAGGAAGGAGCGTGTAATTTCAGCGGAGCAAACACTTTTTTCTAGAACTGATCATAATTGAATACGTAATCATAAATATTACGGATGTTGGTTTCTGGAAAAGGAAAATACGAGAGAAAATGCGTAAATGGGTTTACAGGAAATTTAATCTGAAACTGTATATTTCTAAAATCTTCCGGGACATTAAAGCACTACGTTTTGCGAATTAGCTTGTTCAGATCTACAACTTCGAAGTTTTCGTAAATTTCAGTACGTCCAGATCTATATCCCAGAATTTTTTGTGGATTTTTAGACAACTTTTTCAAAAGCTCTATATTTCAGTACCTACTAACCTTTTATGAAAATTTTGGCCTGTTTTCGACCACCATAGAAAATTACCAGCACATACTTTTCTGCCATATTTCTTCGAAAACTTGTACTATTTTTCGAAAATCACCCACGAATTGTGGCAATTATATTAAAAAAATGAATTTCAAACCGAATATTTCTAAAATTTTGTTTCGGTACTATAAACATGTTATATTTTTCGAATCAGCACGTAAAGATTTATGTCCCTAAATTTTTGAAAAAACTTCTACAATGGCTTTAAAGTTTCAAAAGTTGAAGTCTCTGGAAGAATAATAAAGCAAGTTTCTAGATTTAAAAGTGAAAGCTTAGAATTGTTTAAATCTAACTTTCAAAGTAATTGTAGATTCGACGTTTAAAGTTCCTTCTTGGAACTAATCCTAACTAAACTAAGCTTCTACCAAGACGTTATAGTTTAAAATTTTTAAGCTTTTAAAAGAATAATAACGCCGCTTTAAGAATCCTGGTTTCTACGTTCAAAAATGAAAGCTTCGAATTGTTAAAATCAAAACTTCTTTTTGAAATTAATACCGAGGTTTGAGAATTTCTAGAACAGCGATAAAGTTTCAAAATTTTAAGTTTTTAGAAAAATAAAAATCAAGGTTTCTGCGATTAGAAATGAAAGTGTCGAAATGTTAAAACTGAACTTTGAAATTAATTGAAGATCTACGTTTAAAATTCAAAGCTGCAACTATTATTTAAAGTAAAATCGAAATTTGAAAGCTTCTAAAATGGCGTTCAACTTTCGAAATGCGAAGCTTCCCGGAAGAATAATAAAATAATTTTCAAAATCAAGATTTATTTAAAAATTAAAGCTTAGAATTGTTTAAATCGGAATTTCAAATTAATTGAAGAATCGGCTTAAGGTTCGTTTTTTTAAAACTAAGCCCGACATTCGAAAGCTTCCCGAAAGGTGTTAAAGTTTCAAAATTTTAAGTTTTTACAAGAATAATGGTGTAGCTTTTAAAATTAATGTTTCCACTTTTAAAAATGAGAATTTTGATCTGTTAATAACGAATTTTGCAATGAATCGAAGTTTCGACTTTTAAAAATAAAGCTTGTTTTTAAATTAAAATCGGAATTTGAAGACTTCTGCAATGTCGCTAAAGTTTATAAATTCTAAGCTTTTAGAAAACCAATAAGGTAGTTTTAAAAGTCCAGGTTTCTACGTTTAAAAATGAAAGTTACAAATTGTTAAAATCGAACTTTCAAAATAACTCAAAATTTGTCGTTGATAGCTCCTTTTTGAAACTAATTCCGAGATTTTAAAGCTTCTAGAAGAATAAATGTCCAGCTCCAAAAAGCAAAGCTTCTACGTTTAAAAACGAATGTTTCGAATTGTTAACTAAAAGCGAACTGTCCTTAATCGAAGAATTGACGTGTAAAAATCAAAGCTGCCACATTAAAGTTTACTTTTAAATAAAAATTCGGATTTAAAGGTTTCTATAATGCTTTAGTTTGCGAAATTCTAAGCTTTTAGAAGAATAATAATGTCCTTTAAAAATTATCTTCAAATTCTTAAATCCGAATTACGCAACGAATCGAAGATTCGACGTTTTAAAATCGAGGCTGCTACATAATAAAGCTTCTTTTCGAAATTAATAAATACTTAGAACATCATAATTTTCAAATCCTCAAAACATGATAATCCTCAAATCCTCAGAACATCAGAATCCCGAAACCCTCACAACACCATTATCTTCAAATTTTCAGAACACCATAATCCTCAAATCCTCAGAATAGCAGAATCCTCAAATTCTTATAACACCATAATCCTCAAATCCTCAGAATTCCATGATACTCAAATCCTCAGAACACCATGATCCTCAAATCCTCAGAATACCTGAATCCTCAAATCCTCAGAACACCATAATCCTCAAATCCTCAGAACACCAAAATTCTCTAATCTTCAGAAAACCATAATCCTCAAATTCTCAGAACACCATTATTCTGAAATCCTCAGGATACCAGAATCCTTAAATCCTCAGAACATCATAATCTTCAAATCCTGAGAACACCATAACACTCAAATTCTCACAATACCATGATCCTCAAATCCTCAGAATACCTGAATCCTCAAATGCCCAAATCCTCAGAATGCCATGATATTCAAATAAGCAAACCTTCAGTACAACTCAATACTCAAATCCTCAGAACACTATTATCGTGAAATCCTCAGAACACCATGATCCTCAAATCTTCACGATACCAGAATCCTCAAGTCCTCAGAACACCATAATCCTCAAATTCTCAGAGCACTATATTCCTCAAATCTTCAGAACACTATAATCTTCAAATCCTCAGAATGCCATTATACTCATATCCTCAGAACACTATGATCCTCAAATCCTCAGAATACCTGAATTCTCAAATCCTCAGAACACCATAATATTCAAATCCTGAAAACACAATAATACTCAAATCCTCAGAATGCTATAAAACTCAATTTCCTCAAATCCTCAGAACACCATTATCCTTAAATCCTTAGAATACCATAATCCTCAAATCCTCAGAATACCATAATCCCCAAATGCTCAGAATGCCATGATAATCAAATCTGAAAATCTTCAGTACACATAAATACTCGAATTTTTAGAACACCATAATACTCAAATCATCAGATCGTCAGAACACCAAAATACTCGAATCCTTAGAACACCATATTCCTCAAATCTTTAGATTTTCAAAACACCATAACCCTCAAATTCTCAGAACACAAATATCCTCAAATCCTCAGAACACCATGATCCTCAAATCCGTAGAATACCAGAATCTTGAAATCCTCAGAACACCATAATCCTCAAATCATCAGACCACCAAAATCCTCTAATTCTCAGAACACCATAATCCTTAAATCCTCACAACACCATTATTCTCAATTCGTCAGAACACCATTATCCTTAAATCTTCAGAATACCATGATCCTCAAATCCTCAGAATGCTGTGATATTCAAATAAGCAAACCCTCAGTACAACTAAATACTCAAATCCTCAGAACACTATTACGTCAAATCCTCAGAACACCATGATCCTCAAATCTTCACGATATCAGAATCCTCAAATCATCAGAATGCCATGATATTTAAATAAGCAAACCCTGAGTACAACTAAATACTCAAATCCCCAGAACACTATTATCGTCAAATCCTCAGAACACCATGATCCTCAAATCTTCACGATACCAGAATCCTCAAATCCTCAGGATGCCATGATATTCAAATAAGCAAACCCTGAAGACAACTAAATACTCAACTCCTCAGAACACTATTATCGTCAAATCTTCAGAACATCATGATCCTTAAATCTTCACGATCCCAGAATGCTCAAATCCTCAGAACACCATAATCCTCAAATTCTCAGAACACTATAATCCTCAAATCCTCAGAACACTATAAATCTCAAATCCTCAGAATGACATTATACTCATCTTCTCAGAACACCATGATCCTCAAATCGTCAGAATACCTGAATCCTCAAATCCTCAGAACACCATAATATTCAAATCCTGAAAACACCATAATACTCAAATCCCCAGAATGCCATGATACACAAATTCCTCAAATCCTCAGAACACCATTATCCTTAAATCCTTAGAATACCGTAATCCTCAAATCCTCAGAACACCATAATCCTCAAATTCTCAGAACCCTATAATTCTCAAATTCTCAGAATACCAGAATCTTCAAATCCTCAGAACACCATAATCTCCAAACGCTTAGAATGTCATGATATTCAAATCAAAAAATCCTCAGTACACCTAAATACTCGAATTTTTAGAACACCATAATATTCAAATCATCAGATCCTCAGAACACCAAAATACTCGAATCCTTAGAACACCATATTCCTCAAATCTTTAGATTCTCAGAATACCATAATCCTCAAATTCTCAGAACACAAATATCCTCAAATCCTCAGAACACCATGATCCTCAAATCCTCAGAATACCTGAATCCTGAAATCCTCAGAACACCATTATTCTCAAATCCTCAGAATACCACAATCCTCAAATCCTGAGTAAATCATAATATTCAAATCCTGAGAACACCATAATACTCAAATCCTTAGAATGTCATGATACTCAAATCCTCAGAACACCATTATCCTTAAATCTTCAGAATACCATAA